GGGTCACAAGCCAGGGATCAGAACAGGTAGCAAGCAGCGTGGTACAGAGGGTCAGACAGAGGGATGGTCAGGAGCGAGCCGGGATCAGAGCAGGAGAAGTCAGCAGCGGTTCAGAAACAGGATGCAGGACAGAAACAGGATGCAGGACAGAAACAGGATACAGGGCCCAGGACAAACACACACCAAGGCAGAGTCTGTGGGTCTGGCCATCCCTTAAATACCCCAGCATAATCAGTTACAGGTGTTAGCTGGCTGCAAAGTTGAGTCTCTGATTGCTGGGAACACCCGCTGGCCAGCCCTGGTACTGCAGATCAAAAGGCAGGTGAGTCCCACCATAGCTGGCCAGTCCATTCCTGACAGTACCCCCCCCCCTCAAGGAGCGGCCTCAGGACGCTCCAAACAGTCCTAGCTGGGAAAAATGTTCCACCGCCCGGGTCTGGTAACTGGCGGGATATCAAAGACTGGCACACCGGGCAGGACTCCGGGCAGCGGCACGGGCGGTACACCGGGCAGAGGCACATCGGGCTGGACTCCGGGCAGAGGCACATCGGGCTGGACTCCGGGCAGAGGCACATCGGGCTGGACTCGGGCAGAGGCACATCGGGCTGGACTCCGGGCAGAGGCACATCGGGCAGAGGCACATCGGGCTGGACTCCGGGCAGAGGCACATCGGGCTGGACTCCGGGCAGGCACATCGGGCAGATCCGGGCAGACATCGGGCAGGACTCCGGGCAGAGGCACATCGGGCTGGACTCCGGGCAGAGGCACATCGGGCTACCAGGCGCAGCAGCAGGCAGGCACCCGGGCGAGGCAGCAGGCAGCAGGCGGGCCACGGCAGAGGCACACCCCGGGCAGAGGCAGGCGGGCCGGGCCCCCGGGCGGGGCGACAGGCACCGGGCCCCCGGGGGGGCGACAGGCACCGGGCCCGGGCAGGCGGAACTACAGGTCTCCCCCGGGCAGGCGGAGCGGCGGGCGCCGGACCCCCAGGCGGGGCGACAGGCATCGGACCCCCAGGCGGGGCGACAGGCATCGGACCCCCAGGCGGGGCGACATCGGGCATCGGGACCCCCAGGGGGGCGACAGGCATCGGCCCCCCCAGGCGGGGCGACAGGCATCGGACCCCCAGGCGGGGCGACAGGCATCGGACCCCCAGGCGGGGCGACAGGCATCGGACCCCCAGGCGGGGCGACAGGCATCGGGCCCCCAGGCGGAGCGGCGGGCGCCGGACCCCCATGCGGAGCGGCGGGCGGGCGCCGGACCCCCATGCGGAGCTACAGGTCTCGGGCCCTCAGGCGGAGCGGCGGGCGCCGGACCCCCAGATGGAGCGACAGGTCTCGGGCCCTCTCAGGCGGAGCAACACATCTCGGGCCCCCCAGACGAAGGGCGGGCACCGAGTCACCAGGCACGACAGTGGGCACCAGTCGTCTGGCAAGACTGCGGGCACCGAGTCAACTGGCGGAACAGCGGGCATCGAGTCAACTGGCGGAACAGCGGGCACCGAGTCGTCTGGCAAGACTGCGGGCACCGAGTCGTCTGGCAAGACTGCGGGCACCGAGTCGTCTGGCAAGACTGCGGGCACCGAGAGTCGTCTGGCAAGACTGCGGGCACCGAGTCGTCTGGCAAGACTGCGGGCACCGAGTCGTCTGGCAAGACTGCGGGCACCGAGTCGTCTGGCAAGACTGCGGGCACCGAGTCGTCTGGCAAGACTGCGGGCACCGAGTCGTCTGGCAAGACTGCGGGCACCGAGTCGTCTGGGCGGGCACCGAGTCGTCTGGCAAGACTGCGGGCACCGAGTCGTCTGGCAAGACTGCGGGCACCGAGTCGTCTGGCAAGACTGCGGGCACCGAGTCGTGGCAAGGCGGGCAAGACCTGCTGGGGCACTGCGAGCACCGAGTCGTCTGGCAAGACTGCGGGCACCGAGTCGTCTGGCAAGACTGCGGGCACCGAGTCGTCTGGCAAGACTGCGGGCACCGAGTCAACTGGCGGAACAGCGGGCACCGAGTCAACTGGCAAGAACAGCGGGCACCGAGTCGTCTGGCAAGACTGCGGGCACCGAGTCGTCGTCTGGCAAGACTGCGGGCACCGAGTCGTCTGGCAAGACTGCGGGCACCGAGTCGTCTGGCAAGACTGCGGGCACCGAGTCGTCTGGCAAGACTGCGGGCACCGAGTCGTCTGGCAAGACTGCGGGCACCGAGTCGTCTGGCAAGACTGCGGGCATCGAGTCAACTGGCAGAACAGCGGGCACCGAGTCGTCTGGCAAGACTGCGGGCACCGAGTCGTCTGGCAAGACTGCGGGCACCGAGTCGTCTGGCAAGACTGCGGGCACCGAGTCAACTGGAACAGCGGGCACCGAGTCGTCTGGCAACAGCGGGCACCGAGTCGTCTGGCGGACTGCGGGCACCGAGTGGCAACTGCGGGAGTCTGCGGGCACCGAGTCGACTGCGGGCACCGAGTGGCTGGCAAGAGCGGGCACCGAGTCGTCTGGCAAGACTGCGGGCACCGAGTCGTCTGGCAAGACTGCGGGCATCGAGTCAACTGGCAGAACATGCGGGCACCGAGTCGTCTGGCAAGACTGCGGGCACCGAGTCGTCTGGCAAGACTGCGGGCACCGAGTCGTCTGGCAAGACTGCGGGCACCGAGTCGTCTGGCGGACTGCGGGCACCGAGTCGTCTGGCAAGACTGCGGGCACCGAGTCGTCTGGCAAGACTGCGGGCACCGAGTCGTCTGGCAAGACTGCGGGCACCGAGTCGTCTGGCAAGACTGCGGGCACCGAGTCGTCTGGCAAGACTGCGGGCACCGAGTCGTCTGGCAAGACTGCGGGCATCGAGTCGTCTGGCAAGACTGCGGGCATCGAGTCGTCTGGCAAGCTGCGGGCACCGAGTCGTCTGGCAAGACTGCGGGCACCGAGTCGTCTGGCAAGACTGCGGGCACCGAGTCGTCTGGCAAGACTGCGGGCACCGAGTCGTCTGGCAAGACTGCGGGCACCGAGTCGTCGTCTGGGAAAGGAACAGCGGGCACCGAGTCGTCTGGCAGAACAGCGGGCACCGAGTCGTCTGGCAAGGCGGGCACCGAGTCGTCTGGCTGCGGGCACCGAGTCGTCTGGCAAGAGCGGGCACCGTCTGGCAAGACTGCGGGCACCGAGTCGTCTGGCAAGACTGCGGGCACCGAGTCGTCTGGCAAGACTGGCGGGCACCGAGTCGTCTGGCAAGACTGCGGGCACCGAGTCGTCTGGCAAGACTGCGGGCACCGAGTCGACTGGCGGCAACAGCGGGCACCGAGTCGTCTGGCAAGACTGCGGGCACCGAGTCGTCTGGCTAATAGGATCGTCGGGGGCATCGAGTCGTCTGGCATGACTGCGGGCACCTAGCGGCATCAGGCAAGACTGCATGCAGGCATCTGGCTGAGGAGAGGCTTCAGGCTGAGGAGAGGACAGGCTGGGCACCGAGGCATCAGGCTGAGGAGAGGCACTGGGCAGGCTGAGGAGAGGCATCGGCTGAGGAGAGGCATCAGCACTGAGGAGAGGCATCAGGCTGAGGAGAGGCATCCGGCGAGAGGCATCCGGCACCGGGCTGGAAGACTGAGGCATCCGGCTGAAGAGTCTGGGCAGACGGCAGCAGGCATCCCGAGTCGTCTGGCAAGACTGCGGGCACCGAGTCGTCTGGCAAGACTGCGGGCACCGAGTCGTCTGGCAAGACTGCGGGCACCGAGTCGTCTGGCAAGACTGCGGGCACCGAGTCGTCTGGCAAGACTGCGGGCACCGAGTCGTCTGGCAAGACTGCGGGCACCGAGTCGACTGGCAAGACTGCGGGCACCGAGTCGACTGGCAAGACTGCGGGCACCGAGTCGACTGGCAAGACTGCGGGCACCGAGTCGTCTGGCAAGACTGCGGGCACCGAGTCGTCTGGCAAGTGCGGTCTGGCAAGACTGCGGGCACCGAGTCGTCTGGCAAGACTGCGGGCACCGAGTCGTCTGGCAAGACTGCGGGCACCGAGTCGTCTGGCAAGACTGCGGGCACCGAGTCGTCTGGCAAGACTGCGGGCACCGAGTCGTCTGGCAAGACTGCGGGCACCGAGTCAACTGGCGGAACAGCGGGCATCGAGTCAACTGGCGGAACAGCAGGCACCGAGTCGTCTGGCAAGACTGCGGGCACCGAGTCGTCTGGCAAGACTGCGGGCACCGAGTCGTCTGGCAAGACTGCGGGCATCGAGTCAACTGGCGGAACAGCGGGCATCGAGTCAACTGGCGGAACAGCGGGCACCGAGTCGTCTGGCAAGACTGCGGGCACCGAGTCGTCTGGCAAGACTGCGGGCACCGAGTCACTGGCAAGACTGCGGGCACCGAGTCAACTGGCAAGACTGCGGGCACCGAGTCGTCTGGCAAGACTGCGGGCATCGAGTCGTCTGGGCAAGACTGCGGGCATCGAGTCAACTGGCAAGACTGCGGGCACCGAGTCGTCTGGCAAGACTGCGGGCACCGAGTCGTCTGGCAAGACTGCGGGCACCGAGTCGTCTGGCAAGACTGCGGGCACCGAGTCGTCTGGCAAGACTGCGGGCACCGAGTGTCTGGCAAGACTGCGGGGGCACCGAGTCGTCTGGCAAGACTGCGGGCACCGAGTCGTCTGGCAAGACTGCGGGCACCGAGTCGTCTGGCAAGACTGCGGGCACCGAGTCGTCTGGCAACTGCGGGACTGCGGGCACCGAGTCGAGTCTGGCAAGACTGCGGGCACCGAGTCGTCTGGCAAGACTGCGGGCACCGAGTCAACTGGCAAGACTGCGGGCACCGAGTCGTCTGGCAAGAAGACTGCGGGCACCGAGTCGTCTGGCAAGACTGCGGGCACCGAGTCGTCTGGCAAGACTGCGGGCACCGAGTCGTCTGGCAAGACTGCGGGCACCGAGTCGTCTGGCAAGACTGCGGGCACCGAGTCGTCTGGCAAGACTGCGGGCACCGAGTCGTCTGGCAAGACTGCGGGCACCGAGTCGTCTGGCAAGACTGCGGGCACCGAGTCGTCTGGCAAGACTGCGGGCACCGAGTCGTCTGGCAAGACTGCGGGCACCGAGTCGTCTGGCAAGACTGCGGGGGCACCGAGTCGTCACCGAGTCGTCTGGCAAGACTGCGGGCACCGAGTCGTCTGGCAAGACTGCGGGCACCGAGTCAACTGGCGGACAGCGGGCATCGAGTCAACTGGCGGGACTGCGGGCACCGAGTCGTCTGGCAAGACTGCGGGCACCGAGTCGTCTGGCAACACAGCGGGCACCGAGTCGTCTGGCAAGACTGCGGGCACCGAGTCGTCTGGCATGACAGACTGCGGGCACCAGGTCTGGCAATGACTGCGGGCACCGAGTCGTCTGGCAAGGCACTGGGCGGGCACCGAGTCGCTGGCAAGACATGCGGGCACGACGAGTCGGGACTGGCGGAATCAGCGGGCACCGAGTCGTCTGGGCAAGACAGTGGGCATCCGAGTCAACTGGCCTAATAGGATCGTCGGGCTGGATCAGTTCATCATGCTGAGTAGCGGCATCAGGCTGAATGCAGGCATCAGGCTGAGTAGAGGCTTCAGGCTGAGGAGAGGCTTCAGGCTGAGGAGAGGCTTCAGGCTGAGGAGAGGCTTCAGGCTGAGGAGAGGCATCAGGCTGAGGAGAGGCTTCAGGCTGAGGAGAGGCTTCAGGCTGAGGAGAGGCATCCGGCTGAGGAGAGGCATCCGGCTGAGGAGAGGCATCCGGCTGAAGAGAGGCATCCGGCTGAAGAGAGGCATCCGGCTGAGAGAGGCATCCGGCTGAAGAGAGGCATCCGGCTGAAGAGAGGCATCCGGCTGAAGAGAGGCATCCGGCTGAGTAGAGGCTTCAGGCTGAGTCACTGGAACGGGCAGGTTCACCGGTTTGGATACTGGCAGGATGGTATTGGTTGGAAAGAATTTTCGCTTTTTTCTGGTTTTAACTACTGGAGCACTGCAAGTAAACGCAGGTCTGCAAACGAATGGAGCAGCTGGAGACAGAGAAAAACTGGAGGATGGAACAGGAGAGGGAGCAGTTGCTACAGAGGGCTTTTTTACAGGGTTAAAGGCAGGATAGGTGCAGCGAGTGGGAACAGGGTACTGACATGCGGTAGATAGCCAAGTATACTGGGCTGTAACTGGAGGAGCTGGTGGGAATACAGGAGTAGAGTTAGAAGCAGGACTGGGTTTTGTAAGCTGACTGAGGCTGGGTGCAACAAGTCTGTCCATGTCTGCAGTATGGGTTGAACAAAGCTGAGCTTACACAAAGCCTGTCTGGTCAATGACTGCACTGCGTTTATACAATCTCTTAGTGTCTGTGGTGAACATGTGGAATAACGCTCCAGAAAGTAACCCACATCATCCTCTAATAACCACACCAGGGACTCAACCTGGTCTGCACTAAATGGTGGCAAAAATTCATCCCTGCATTCGGGGGAACCAGATGAAACCAACTCAACACAAACCTGAATCAATGGCTGCACCATAGAGAAATCTGTGCCCTGATCTACTAGAACATGAGCGAGCCGTATACATTCTAGCAGTTCATCCGGGGATACTCCTTCAGAGTCTGATAAGCATACTCTCTGTCATCAAGCACTAGCAGAGATAAATACTCAACCTCATCCAGATCCATCCTTCCCATCAACAAGCCAAGATGGCTTCCCTGTGCAGCCACTTCTGGTCAGGATTGGCCTTGGTGTAATGTCAGGGCTCCCAGGTGTGACCAGAGATGTGTGACTGACGCAGGGAAACGCAGACCTCAGATATGTTATAAACAATATAATTTATTAACACTAACAATACAAACATAAACGCAGTGCAATACTAAAACATAATACAGTGCAAACAAACCAAACCAAACCACCCACAGATAACAGTACATACAAGCAAGCGTCGTCAGGCAGGCCGGGTCAATATCAATAGGGCAGGTAGGTACAGGGGGAGCAAGCGGAGATTGGTCGGGGTCACAAGCCAGGGATCAGAACAGGTAGCAAGCAGCGTGGTACAGAGGGTCAGACAGAGGGATGGTCAGGAGCGAGCCGGGATCAGAGCAGGAGAAGTCAGCAGCGGTTCAGAAACAGGATGCAGGACAGAAACAGGATGCAGGACAGAAACAGGATACAGGCCCAGGACAAACACACACCAAGGCAGAGTCTGTGGGTCTGGCCATCCCTTAAATACCCCAGCATAATCAGTTACAGGTGTTAGCTGGCTGCAAAGTTGAGTCTCTGATTGCTGGTAACACCCGCTGGCCAGCCCTGGTACTGCAGATCAAAAGGCAGGTGAGTCCCACCATAGCTGGCCAGTCCATTCCTGACAGTATCCAAAATAGTGAAACACCTGAATGAGGGTTTGGGATTGAGATATGGGGCTAGGTTAAGAAAAAGAGAAGATCATCCGCATATGCTGCGATTTTATAAATTTTTGGGCCTCTCATGAAGCCTCCAATAGAAGAGTTATTGTTAATCATTCGGATGAAAGGTTCTAGTGCTAAAATAAACAAAAGAGGGCAACCTTGCCTAGTGCCATTGAGGATGTGGACATCAGAAAGGGTGCCATTTATCTTAAATCTAGCTTGTGGGTTATGATAGAGAGAAGATATCCAAAATATCATATGTGGTCTCAGGCCAATATGTCTAAAGGTAGTCATCATGCAGTCCCAAGTGACACAGTCGAAAGCCTTTTCCACGTTGGTCCATAGCAGAAGGCCCTCCAATCCCTCGGAGTAAGTGTAATGGATTAAGTTAAGAGCTTTTGTTACATTGTCAAGGGCCTCCCTCCCAGGCATAAAGCCCACCTGTTCCAGGCCAATCCAATTTGGCAGGAAGGTCTGTAGCCATAATTTTTGCCAACAATTTCAGGTCTACGTTCAGTAACGCTATCGGTCTATAAATAGCGCAGTCCATTGGGTCTTTAGCAGGTTTTTGTATTAGGGCAATGTAAGCCAAGGTGAAAGAGTTGGGGACTGGGTGGGGGTCTTTTAGATTGTTCAGGGCCTGTAAAAGAGGAGTCTTAATTAATTCCCCAAATGTTTCATAGTAAAGGGTGGTAAATCCATCCGAGCCTGGGCTTTTCCCTGGTCTCAACATTTTAATGGCATTCAAACGTTCTTCTACTATTATAGGATTTTCTAAAGATTCTGCATCCTCAGTGGTCAAGGTGGGTAGACCACTATCATGCCGATATTGCGAAATGACTTGTGCTCTGTTCCCTATCATATCAGCTGGTTTATGCGAGGGGGGCAAATTATAAAGTTTAGTATAAAATTTGTAAAAAATTGCTGCTGTCTGATTAGAGTTATGCACAGAATTTCCTTCCGGGTTTTTGATTGACAAAATAGATGTGGTATACACTAGGAACTTCAAAGCTCTTGCAAGAAACTTGCCACTCCTGTCTCTATGTTCATAGTAAAACCCTTAAGAAAAAGAATACCTCAGGCTTTGAGATGGAGCAGGGATAATAATTGTTGTCGAATGGTGGACAATTCGTCGGCCACCGATTCTGCTCTTGACTGTTTGTGTTGGGTTTCCATAGTTGCAATTTTCTCTGCAAGAGATCCAATACGTTGAAGCGCTTCCCTTTTCCGCTAGGACCACAGGTGTATATACTCCACCCGTAATACACACTTATGGGCCTCCCATACAGTCATAGGGGACATTTAATCTGACACATTGAGTTGGAAATAGGACCGAACGGTTTCAGTAAGTTGTGAAAGGATAGACAGATCAGTCAATAGAGTGGGGTTGAGACGCCAGTTACACATTTTCTGAACATGAAATTTTAAAGACAGTGACACCGGGGAGTGGTCAGAAAAGGTTTGTATCCCTATGTCCGCAGATTTAAGTGTGGGTAAATCGCATTGGGTGATGAAGACATAGTCAATACCCGAATGTTTGTTTTGTGAAGTGCCTAATAAAAGGTATAATCTCTACCTGTAGGATGCACCACCCTCCATGAATCCGCTAAAGTGAGAGAGCTCAAAAAAATGTATATTTGCTTCAGAACTTTGTACGTAATACTAGACTTATTGTTGAATATGTCTTGTGTGGGGAGTAAGGGTATGTTGAAATCGCCTAATAGAATACAACCCTGGGCAAACCCTTTTAATTCTGGAACTATTTGGCTGTAGAAGGCGATGTGTCCTGTGTTTGGGAAGTAAACATTCGCCAGTGCCAGTGGTGTATTTTGCCATTTGCCCTTCAAAAAGATAAATCTACCCAAAGGATCTATTAGAGCTGTTGTTACAATTCAAACTCTGTATGCTTATGTATAAGAATTGTTACACCTTTGTATTTTTGTAGCAGATTTGGTGAGTGATATACCCTCGGGAAGTATTTATTGAATAAATTCGATATAGACCGAGATTGGAAATGGTCTCCTGTAGAAAAACAAACTTTCCATAACTCTCTTAGCAAATCGTGTCCTCTTCTCAGATGTAATAAGACCTCTTGACTATGTGTGAAATTAAGGTGGGGTTCTTGCCCACATATGAGTATGCCATAATTTCAGGAGGAGCCAGAGCTCGTCACTCCAGACAATAGAAAAAAAAAAAGGAAAAAAAAACACTTAAAAGAAAGGGGGGAGAAGAAGAGCAGGGTATCAAGAATCCCTACGTTAAGGGAAATAATTGCTTCAACAAATATCAAAGCTTACTGCCACAAGTAGGAAGAAGCGCAACAAAGTCGCGCAAAAGCTGAAACACTTTAGGAATACTAATGAGCACTTAGAACACGCTGGTAGCAGTCGTGGGAGGGTTGAAACAGGTAGTAATATAATCAGAAAATAAAATATAATGTACCCACAGCTAACAATGTAATAGCACACAAACAGAAATAACAACATTGAGTTATACTGGTCATAACTGAAAATCAGCTCACTAAATGGGACATGAGACCTAAAATAGGTTCGGCCAATTTACAATGGTAATGTTAACGATAATGGTATTAATATGGTGCTAACCAGATGAAACATGGGGCCACATGGACCTATTCCTGATAATGGAATATCTAAGGATTAATGAGACCTCCCAGACTCTAAAGTGGGGGGTTCCTCCCCATAATATATCAAAATAAAGGAAAACCCCAGAGCTTCTGTCTAGAGCTTTAAGTTATTAACCAAAAAGGATAGCCATAAGGGCCCATGTACAGCTGCTATAGAGGTTCCCATACTCCGCATACAGATATATATTCAAAAAACCGCTCGCACGGGACATGATCTGGCCTCCTGATCTTTCTACTCATCTACAAAAATAAGGTAAGTGTCCAGAATGCCCCTATGTAATATCTGGGTTGCTGTCCTTTAAGGTAAACTGTTAAAGAACCATGGTAGACAGTTTGGCAGTTTGAGATGTAGCTGTTTTCCTTTAAGGGTCACAAAGAGC